AAAAGAAAGGAAAAGAATCTCACGTTTGTTCAGAGGGTCACCCAACTCTTTTTTTTATTTATTTTTTCTTATTATTCTTCCTCTTCTTTTTGAAAAGCATAGAAGAAGAGAAAGATATTTTTAGTAAGCAATACAAGGCTACTCCAACCTCGCAAAACATCCAATAAAACAGTCAATAAAACAGAATTACATCACAAATCCTTAATTATGCATTCCTTAGGGTTCATCAACCAATCTGTAAAGGAGAACCTCTCTTCCAACTCTTTTTTTTTTTTTCCTGCACTTTTGGGCCCGCAAACGGGATGATTCGGACGAACATATTCTAATTGAGATCAACTTACACACAACTATAAATTAATGTCTTATTAGATTTATTTAATTTTTACTTTTAAAAAAAATTAACATTTTTTTTATGTAAAAAGTGGTGAACCTCAACCTTCTATGGTGAAAAATGAATTGTGTATATGGTTTTGTGTAAGTAAAGGAAAATAAGAGTCTTGACTTTTGAATTTATAAGATTCGGTTCACTTTTGTAGATTTTGATTCCAGAGTTAGAATAGAATTTTTTTTTTCAGAAAAAGGATTCAAATTTTTCAATAAGAATACTGGCAAATGTGTCTAGCCGAGTGGGTTTTTATTGAGTTATATCTTACTTAATTTGAGCTTATACCTTTAACCAAAAACTCAGCCCACCGTGAGTGAGTTGGGTTGAAAATCTTTTAAATCGAATCTAATTTAGCCGAATTTAGACACTAAAAAGAGGCAATAAGATTACAGCATATTTAAGCTGCTAGAGATTTGCCCAGCCCAATCGAACCCAACCCAACCCAACCCAATAATGTCGACTCAGGGTAAGGGCACAAGAAGATAAGTAGTATGCGAAGAAGAAGAAAATATTTTACCAATTTAGCGTCAACAATTGTCCAATTGCAATTGAGAGACTTACGGCAAGATGGAGAAAGAGTCAGAGAGAGAGAGGAGAGATCCAAATCATACCTCCACACAGCACCTCCTCGCTTGGGAGCCGATCGTGAACGGAAATGTATTTATTTTTGCTTTGTGGTGGGCTCATTCGCTCCAAGCCCCTCAGGCCCGTGTGTACAGAAAATTGTGTTTTAAAAACCCAATTTAAGCTTTTAATGTCATCCACCATAGACTCTGCCACAAGCCTTTTCCACATCCTTATTTTTCCAATTTAATGTTAAATAATAATCAAGGGTGACTCTACAAGGGGACGTACTAGTAATTTAAAACAAGGTCAGCGTCTGGGTGTAACCGCGGCGATAAAGACAGAGACATTGTGTCGCTGCCGTCTACGACTGCATAACCCACCGCCACCACCCACTCAACAAATCATCAGAAACTTACACGATGAACTTTTGACTCTTTCAATGTGTTGACCCTAAATCCTTTTACTTTTAAAAAATAATTAATGTATTCGTTATTTAATAATCACGTGTTATATTAATAATGAAATATATTAATTTTGTGGTTTTGAAGAGAACCTTAACCCCCAACTCTGAAAACTTTGAACTAGGGCAAATAGGTTGGCCATTAAATATCGGTTAAAAATGGGATAAAGGGTGGGACCCACTAATCATATTGTCAAACAAAGGGTGCGCAAATGACACGGTATGTTAAAAGAGCGAGATTAGTACACAGGGCTGGACATGGTACGGTATGGTAACCGTATCGCACTCAAATGATGGTAACTGTTTTAAGTGGTAATGAAAAAGAGTTATCACTTCCATACCAATTGATGATTTTTTTATAATGGCTGCTAACCGTTTTTAATGGTAATGAAACTTGCTTTACCAATATCATACCATATTACCATTTTTAAACTTATTTTCTTCATTATCAATTAATTCAAGTCATTTAAAATTCAATCTTAAAAGTTCAAAATTATCTTAAAAACTTATTTTCTTCATATCATTCTTCATCATCTTGAAGCATACAAATATATAATTATACAAAACATGCACACATAAAAAAAAAAACAAAAAAGAGAACTAGCAACAATTGAAAACTTTGTAGAATAAAAAAAAAAAAGAGGAAAAAGTTTTGAATGAGTGGTAAATTTGGTAACCATATGGTAAAAGTGGTAATGACCTCCAATACCAATATCGTACCACAGGTCTAAACGGTATTGCCATATTACCATTTAAACTTACCATATGGTAATTTACCATACTGTTTCCGCTAGTAATGGAACGATACAATGGTAATTGTGGCATTTATGGTATAGTGCCTAGCCCTATTAGTACACATCAGCATCCAGCGTGTAAAAAAACGACATGCTGGCACGGGCTAAACGGAGATCGTGACGGTGATGACATCATCTGTTAAATAATGACCGATTTGGGTCAATCGATACTTTTGGAGGGCCAAATGTCCCTGCTTTTTTTTAGAGGGTGGATCCGTCCCTACCCATATTTTTAAAGGGGTGATTTGAGAGTCTGCCAAAAATATAGAGCTTCCCTTTCGCCTCACTCAAATTTGAATTTTCCTTTTCCAAATTGAGGGAATCATAAGAAAAAAAGAAAGTTTTTCTTTTTTAATTTCAATATCTAAATACAAAGAATGAAGTTTAATTCAAGAAACATTTCAGTAATTAGGAATTTGAATTTTTATGATAAAAATTTTAAATTGAAAGATAATAACTACTTTTATTGTATAACTTGGTATCTAATGTATAAAAAAGAAAAAATAAAATGAATAAAATGGAATATTAATATTCTTTAGTTTAATCTTTATATGTTACTAACAACTTATTAGTTTGAGTAAAAAGAGTTTAATTTTTTTATGTAAAATCTTTATTTCAAATCTAATGAACAAAGTAACAGATACTAAGAGAACTCTAAATTATTGTAATTTGTGAATACTAAGGG